CATACATAATCACACATACCTACATATACATGTAAAAATAATTGCACACACATACGCACACACACACACAGATATATATATATATGCATACCTACACATGTATGTATGTATGTATGTATGTATGTATGTATGCATGTATGCATGTATGCATGTAGCACACAATCTGCTTCAGTCTGATCGTGTATCTCCAGGCTGAGGCCTCTGGAGCTTCCGAGATGGCCACGATGCTCGCAGACAAGCTAGGAGACTTGACGCCCGATCCTGAGCTGGGACAGCCATGGAAAGTTTTTTGAGATCGAGGATCCAGGGCTTCAGGATTGCGGATTTCGGGCACCGGGATGTAGGGTTTCGGGATTTAGCCGCCTGGCGCGGAGTTTCATGAGGTTGCTCGGCAAACAGGCCTGGATACAAGAAATGATGTAGAAAATGTATGCTTCGGAGTTTACGATCTTGCCCTTCCTCGCAAGAACAAGTCGGGCTCCCAAGAATGTAAGAGAACTTTGGAGAGGGGCAAAACGTGCTTTGTTCTTCAGGTCTTGCTGGCCTTGCGACCAAGAGTGAAGCCCAGGCCCACTTCTGGCGTTACTCACATCCTCGTCTGTGATCATGGCTCTCCGGCCGCCAAAGTGACGGCAGCACGGGAAGCAGTGCGTTCCGAGCTGGAGGTGTGGAGTGTGCGATCGTGTGATAGGCATCAGCTGTTCGGTTGCTTGGGCCTGCTTTATTGGAGATGCTTGAGGGACACCACCAAGCTATTGACCAACTTCACACGGAGGTGAAGCCATTCGGGGTTTTAGAATTCGTTCAGAGTCAAACTTGGAGGTGAAGCTGAGTCGCAGCGTGACTGCCTGCTGCATGGAGCGACGCGAAGGCGGCCATGCGCCCTACAATTTTCCTCAGAGCCTAGCGGGCACTTGCATTTCTGGGTACTGCGGATACAGGGTTGTCCCAGATTTGGTTCGAGATCGGTGCACCACAAGCAGTGGTGGGCCTTAGCAGCAAACCCCAAACGTTTTTCGAGTCCAAGCCTGTACAAGCCTTCTGAGTCTCGGAAGGTGCCCTATACGACTTCAACGGACCCTTGCTGGAGGATGCTCTCAAGGTCGATGTGTCCTTTGCGCTGGTGCTTTGGTCATGGCCATGCAAGTCCTAAGCACGCAAGCAGGCGTTGGTTTCCACAAGCGGAGAACCGAAGCGAAATTCGAAGAGTCGAAACGTTAAAATGGCGATTTTTTACTTGTAGACTTTTCTGGCACTTTTCGGACTTTTCGGGCTTTTCGTCTTTTCGACTTTTCGGGTGTTATTGCACTTTTTGGACGTTTCGTGTTTTGCGACCTTTCGTGTTCCGCTGTTCGTTCAGGGTTTTGGGGCCTAAGGTTTTGAGTTGTTTCAGACCTTCTGGGGTTCGTTTTGCAGATCCCTGAAGGGGCCCTCTCGCGGTTCTAAGACGATGTAGCATTTGGCGGTTCATAGGGCGTTATCGGCTGTTTTAGCTAGGTTTTGAAAAGAGCTTGGGGTTTGTAAGTAGTTTATGGGGTTTGTTGCATCTTTAACTAAGCATAGAAAGACACTGGTTTGTCGTGTTTTTCTAATAGCTGTACGGTTTCCAATGAGTTTTTGTAGCTCTTCAAAGGGCTTCAACAATGGGGGCGAAGCGCTTCGTAATGATATTCCTCAAAGTTCCTCGAACTATCGTTCCCCGAAGCATATTTCACATCGCTACGGCCCCAACATAAGTGGTTGCCGTGAGGATTCAAACATTTACTTAATTTGTTTTTTCTGTTGACTCTACTCGGGTTTGACCCTGGTTGTCTTTGAACCGGCGTTGATGAGGTTTTAGGGTTGTGGTTACGATCTCAGGCAGGTCAGCCGATCTGGGGTCTTTCACTGCCCGAAACAGCAATCAGCATAGGGATGCATAAGACCGTTCGTCTCTTCACGTTTCAGAGAACCAGGCTGCACGGAACTTGCATCCCCAAAGTCGAACACCTCCGAAGCTACAGCCTAGTGTGCCACCAGACGTTGTCCCAGTTGTGCAAATGCGTACTGTGTATATACATGTGTGTAGTTATATATACACACACCTTTACCATGTATGTATATATATATGTGTGTGTGTACACATGCATACACATACACGTACATATGTACATATGTACATATGTACATATGTACATATGTATGTATGTATGTATGTATGTATGTATATCTTCAGACACATGTATATATGTATGCATATACGTGCAACCATACTTCTGCTTCGGCACACACACGCATAGCATATGCATATGTTTACGTATTTTCTCTAGCCTTCCACATCGACCCATGCCACCTCGCACACTTCGTGAAATCCTACATCCTTTCCGGCGCTTTGATTTGACGAGGTTTCAATCTTAACCCAATGCCCGAAATCCTTAACACTGTCCTGGATCTGCCTTTGCTCTCTGCAGACAGAAGCAGTGCCAAGATGCTTCAGGTGTGTGCCACTTATTGCTTTTAGGTTTTTGCTGTGTTGTGTTTTCTACGTTTCGACTTTGACTTTTCGACTTTTTTTCGCGTTTTGCAGTGCTTTTCGACTTTTCGTGGCTTTTCGACTTTTCGCTTTTCTGTGTCCTTTTCGACTTTTCGATGCAATGGCTCACGTTTCAAGACTTTTTGCCTTTCGACTTTTCCGATTTTCTGGTTTTTCGCGCAAAGTCTTTATTTTTTGTAAACAACTTGTCGACTTTTTGCGTCGGCTTTTCGCGTGCAGTTTGGCATATTCCATTTGTCCGCGCTCGCAGCCGTTCGCAAACACAGTGCAAGTCGTGGGGTAGGTGTCTCGCATAAAACGAGTTACACCAAATAAATGCCAGGCCTCCAAATCCCTGACCAGTCTTCGCAAAGCCCCACCGCCGGTTTCGGGGCAGAATGCGTAACGGAGAAAATCTGTCAGGGGTGTTCTAGATAAACGCAGTGCGAATCCCAAGTTGATAAGTGAGGGGGGTCTGGAGTCTGAGGGCTCAGAGCTCCACATCTAAACCAATCTAGCCGTATCTGGCCGTCAGGACCTACCTCCAGGGGCATTCGCGAAGGTGGCACTCTTGTTCCTGCAGGACCCAGTGAACCCCGGATACCCTGTTGTAGCAGGTCTGTGATTCCAAGATCTGCTGTGTTCGAGATCGCTGAGTGCATCGGGCTGCCTGTCTTCTTGCCATATGACATATGAGCTTTCGGATTCTGCAAAAAGACAGAATTTCAGAATTCCGCATCAGCCTCGAGGCCTCTGCGCAACATGGGCTGTTGGTTGGCATGAAGCATTTTGTGGACTTGGGCTTGAGCACGGTTAGTATCGACAGTCGAGGATACCGAGTTCGGGTTGCCGGAAGCAACCCTAGCCTTTCAGGTGGGAGGCAGATGATTCCAATTCTTCATGTCTCAAATTCCCGAAGTCTCACTCTACGTGTTTATCTCTATTGCAATGCGTCTCGACGCTCGAACTCAGCGTTTTCTCGTCCAGCCTCGTCGCAGGAAGGTCGCCACGCAGGTCCAGGAGGCGACATCGCCAAGATTGTGGAAGGAGCTTCATTTGTGCACGTCGTTCTGGTCGAGAGCTTTTGGCTGTGGAGATGAGCCTTCCAGGAGTGTTGGCCGAGCGAAAAGACCTGAAGATTGAAACCACCGGGGTCTTGGCAGGCCCGCATCGCGCCAGAGGATTTCGGACATTTCCGGGCTTGAAGAGACAACTGTGCTAAACGTCCTAGCGATTGAAATTTGATTTTAATTTACGCTTGGGCCTCCAGAAATCGAAGCATCGATACCAAAGCCTGAGTCCAGAAAACTCGAGGCACAAACTGTAGGAAGCTGATTCGTCGAGTGCGAGTTCTAAACGGAAGCTGACAGGTCATGCCCTGTTGGAGGAGCTGCTGCTGAAGCGCGCGCAGAAGGCAGTCCCATACCACCTGTTCACCTAAAGCTGTCCGGGTCATGCTGAGACCGAGCGCAGTAGGTCGTTTCGAGTGCTTTCTGCCCATTCACAAGCAGACATTGCGCTCCGTCGTAGACGATGGTTTTTCCATGTCCGCTGTCGGTGCGGGGCAATCAGAGTGTGCCAAAGACTTGCCGACTAGGTAAGATGCTTTAGAGCCAGTCGCATTCGCTTGTATCATGTTGCGTCATATTAGCCGCTCGTCCCGATGATGATGAACAGTTTCCATTGCCCTGCAGTCCGAAAGCGAGCAGTTTTCTGCAGCCATCTGCCGAGCACCACCAGTGAGAAAAGGGTCTTTTGACTAGTGCTTTTGTTCGGCAGCATGAGGTGAGGTGCCCTCACAGATTTTCTGGATCCTTGGTTTTTCATGAATGTTGGCGGATATAGCGCAAGGCTGGGGGAAGGTTAGAAACCTTGCAGCCGGTACCTTGCATGAGATGTTGCAACGCTGTTCCGTGCTGATCTTGTTGTGCTTAGCTTGAGTCCATGCGCCCGCGATGAACTCACTGCAGCGGTCGCGTCGGTTTTTTAAGGCCAAGGACATGTTGGCCTCTCTGATGGTTTTAGATGCCAAAGGGCGCAGGGGGCCATGGCTCTGCCAATGGGATTGTGTCAAACACGATCTGGGCATCTCGGGGCTGCGATGACGAGTTCCTTCTCACACCTCGAAGTGTGTGGGTTCTTATCCAGGAGAGGCAGAGAGGCAGGAGGGGAGACGAGTGTCACCGCAAGCCAACAGAAAGAGGAGACAGCGCATTCGAGGGCGCTCACTCCCCTTCGCGGCGCTCTCAGCATGGATAAGCGCATAACACTGCTGCTCGGCTTGTACCTGGAAGGCCACCCCCCCCTGCCCCACATGCTTCATCTAGACCCCTGGCAACAGCTGGTTACAGTACCCACCCAAGTTCCGTCCCGAGCCAGCCATGTAGCACGCGGACTTAGTCTTTGACCCCATCTCAGCTCCCTGCAGTCTCAGCCCAGGTGGACCCAGCGCCCTCGACCTAAAAACTCGTTAGTCCGGTACACCTCAATGAAAGTGCGAACTTCTTCCCTTCCGACTCTGCTGTGCCCATGGGCGGCTGTGTCCATGGCCTCGCTCCTGGCTCAAACCCTGGAGCAGCAGCCATGGGCTCAGTTTCAGCCCAGCAGGGGGACGGGCTTCTGGAGTTTGCGGAGTTTGCTTTATGGCATTCAGGGCCATGGTTTTGGATCGCACTTGCTGCACGTGCTCATTACGATAGCTCCCGTTCCTCGCCTCGTCTTTATCCAAACCTGCTCGTTTTTCGATATTCGAAGCTGCAGACAGCCGGTGTTTCCGCAGTAACAGCGCAGGCTCCGCGGCATTCCAGTGCTGGCCGTGGGTCTTGGACCAAGCATAGAGACCAAGCGTGGGTCTTTGGGGCTTGGTTTAGGTCACCGGAGCTTTCTTGCCTCAGTGAGCCCTTTGAATTCAGTTTTATGGACGTAGGTCTTTGGGTTGTGTCCGGACATGTTGCAGCGTGGCTTTTCTCAATTAAACATTTGGGGTGTAGATCTTCTTGCAGGGATGTTTGGGTTTTTCAGCGAATAGAATACATGCATATTAAGCATGGCATAGCATCGGGATTAGGGTGGTTTCGGTTCTTAGGGAGATTCAGGGTCAGAACCAACAGCCCGGGATTCTTGTGAATCCCGGCTTCCGACTTCGGCAACCGGACAGAGGTACAACTTGCCCCGGCGGCTTCACGGTCGTGTCAGCCTTAGCGGTGGTGGCTCTCCGTATGTACGTACACGCACAGATATGTTTATGTGTGTGTGTATAAATAAAAATAAAAATATAAATAAATAAATAAATAATGTATATATATAATGTATATATATATACATAAACACACACACACACACATACGCATGTGTGATTTACATGTAAGGTACACGGCGACCTCTGTCGACAGCTTTTCCTGCGGAAAGCTTCATGCAACATATCTTTGATAAAGGTGCGAAGCCTTGATATCAGCCACACAAGAAGTGCTGGATTTGGCGAGCTGGTTTCTCGGGGGTCGCAGAACATCTTTTCCAGCCGCAGAATCTAGAGGTAGATCTTGATGTGTGGCCTCTTAGCAGATGGGATGCTGCTGCTACAGAAACATCCAAGCTGAACCGTAGGTTCTCATGCGTCAGCCTCCGCCCAGATTGAATCGATCTTGCACTGGCTGGCCAACGGTGCAGGGGCCCTCGGGTTCTTGTGGTCAGCAAACCTTCGTCAGGTAAATTTGTGTGGAGCCTTTTTCTCTTAACGTGAAAGCCAGCTGATGTTGCGGGTGGCCTGAGGGTAGCACGACGTTGGATGTCGCGTGAGGATACATTGTGAGGAGCGGGTTGTGTTCTCGACAACATCGAGTCAACCTTGTGGGACGTCGTGCTCTTTGTCTGTCAGGTTCGCCAGCCGGTTTGCATCTTCAATTCCGGTAATGCCGCGGCATTCATCGGGAAAGATGGAAGGTGCTTCCATCAGTTTCGAAATCACTGCGAGTTTAATCATCTGGATGCAGCGATAAACTGGCAGCATAGGCCAGCTGCTTGACGAGTGACTTTTGTCGTGTATCCGGACATGCTGATCCTTGTGGTGAGCTGTCGTTTCTTCAGTAAGCTGGAGTGGGGCATCAAAGCCTGGCTGAGCTGGATGCCTCAGACTTCCAGCGCCATGGTCACCTGCACGTCGGTGGTGCAATAATGATTGTGATGCTGGTTGCAAAGAGAAGCAGGAGATCGAGAGAACTGACTTTCCGAGAACGGTGCCGCACCTGGCAGGCTCTACACACTGCGAACTGTCCTGAACGAGGCAGCGCCAGCATGCTCCCATTTCTACGGAACTGCGGTCAGCACTGATATCTGATGTGGTTTCATGATTGCGATGGAATCACCTTTCGTGGGTGCACGTTGATTCGTACAGAAACGACGTTCTAGCTTTCCATCTACGAATAAGGTCCCCGAAGTTCTGCAATTGACACTTCTTCTCTTGCTTTCCAACGGAGGGCTGCCCCTGTCACATGTCCCTGTCCTAAAGACTCGACCGTAAACCCTAAACACTCGGTGAGTAGTCCGTAGATCGTAGCTCGAGAAGACCCGAATCCCTCAATGTTGTGTGAGTTTTGGTTCTTAGGATTAGGTATCTCTGCTGGTTTTTGTTGTCACTGTCGGGACATGAGGGAGCACTGAAGTAGCGAAAACAGGGCCACATTCGCCTTCCCTGCGAACTATGGACCATCCTCGCCTGCCCGAGTTGCGAGAGTCTAAACCCCAAACCCGTCTCCTACTCTCCTACTGCTCATCAGCCTTTGAAGGATGGGCCCTCGGAGCCGCGCTCGGAGCTGCGCCTGGATGCCGCGAAGAGCGACAGCCAGTCCGGGCACCTAATGTAGGGACCCAAACAATTGCCAAAATTATTGGGGGTTCCTTGTTTTTTTCTGAGCTGCCAAATCTTGTCATGTTCAGTCTTGCACTTCCCCACAGCTCACAGCACATTAATTCAGGACTCCTCGTGCAGTGCTAATGTGTGCATGATACCACCACTCCTCCGCCCATACGTCGCAGGAGCAGTAGCAGGAATAGCAGTCGTCGTAGTAGAAGTAGTGGCAGAAGAAATACCTGCAGACCTGATACGATCACCATTGAAGTGAAGGCCAACATCAGACCATCAAAAGAGCTTATTCTAGATCCGACAGTTAAGCGACAAGTTCACCGATGCAGTCCGCAGCAAGTGGCACAAAGACTAAAAGTACTGGTTCAGTCCGTGTTTAGGTAGTCCCAGCCCTGAAGCCAGAACGCACACTGAACCTCAAGTCCTCAAACTTGATCTTAGAGCCTTCTGGGAGCGTTTCCTCCAGCCAGCCGCAAACGCTACAATGTGCTGAGGGACTGGCAGTTGACTGACACTCCGGACGTGGCGGCTGTGACCGTGGCTGGAGCCTCTCGTGTAGTAAAGGATGTCTTGGTCTAAGCAGTGTAGGAGCTTGAATAACTGGTAGCATCATGCTATTCTGAGAGCCTTTGTCGTTTGCATGAGATCCCACAGTAGAGTTGTATGTAGTTCATGATGTATGCATGCATGTATTTATGTATGTACGGATGTATGGTAGGAAGTATGCATATACAAATGTACTTATGTATGTATGTATGTATGTATGTATGTATGTAGACCGTGACCCGTATATGCCCCGCGGTATTTGCAGTTTCTGTTGTTTGGAGCACTTCGGATTTTCAGCGTTTTCTCAGGCGGTCGCCAATTTCTGCTTTTCTGCTTAGGAGGTATTGCTCTTGCGAGAACTTCGACTTCGGCTTCTGAGGGTGTTCCCAGGCGATTGTCGATTTGTGCGGGGGGGGTGGGGGGGTGGCGGGGTGTGAGGTGGCTGGCTCGCAGGATACTTAGGGCCTCAGGAATTATGGTTACATCCTCCCTACCCCCAACCGTGATAGAGTCCACTCCAACCCCATCCGTGCCCCAACCGTAATACCGTCCACTGCGCAAGGCTTCAAACACTCACTCGCTTCTGTGTCATGGGGGACAGCGCAGTGAGAAAGGAGCTTCGCGCCAAACTACTTGCGAGTTGTCAGCAGCCGATTTCTTGTGCTGAAAGTCCCTGACCTGCGAATGCATCGCCCCTGCTACTGTTTTCGACATGTCAACATTTTGCCGGAAGTGCCTCCGCAACAGGGGCGCCTATGGTGCACGCACCATGAAGGTAGAGTTTTTCAGAACATCTACAGAACATCTATACACACAGCATGAGTATGTATACTTGTATGTTTTTTTTGCAGAAGCTTGAGAAGCTTCGGAAAGCCTCAAGGGCTTTTGAACGCGAGCTCAGGCATGCCGGAGCTCCCATAGAATGAAGCCACGCAAGCACCAAACGCGCTCAAACTGCTTCAGCCTTCAGCCTCTTACCATCAACCGGGCCGCAAAACAATCTCGAGGCTTGAAGCTGACAAGCTCTAGGTGCTGCGCGGGCGTTGGCGAGCGCAGTGCAGCATGATCTTTACTTCATAATACTGAGGCTCATACTGAGCGCTGCATCTTGGCACGGGCACCCGGTACTTTGACAGGGGTTGTCAGAGTATTCCTTGTTCCCGCAGCTTCGTTGAATAACGTTTCGGGGCAGAAGTGTGTGGAGCCTCATGATCTTCGCATGTCTGTGTCGCTCTCAAACATTCTCGGGTTGATTAGACGGTCGCGACCGAAAGCAGTTGTTCAGCAGAAAGCCAGCGGAGCTCTGGGAATTACATTATCCGTGGTTGCCGCTGACCACGTGCGACTTGAAGTGACTGTCTGCATGTGCGCGCGGCTGCCGTCATTGAACTATTGTCACTCTGCTGCGGAGTCTTCAGCCTCACGCTTGAAATCTGCAGGCTAACATCCTCCCAACTTTCCCCAATCCCCTGGCCGCCGTCGCCCACCCTCCAAAGCACCAACGTGAGCTCTTGTAAAATCTTCGCCTTTTTTGAGCTCCTTGCAGGTCCTCGATTCCAAGATGGAGCTCCACGTCCGGCAGGACGACGGCACGGTGCAGGACGCGGGTTGGGCAGTTGCACGTCGAGGGTGGGGAAGGTTGTGAGGTAGTATGGGATAGCAGTTTCAGGTTTTGCTGTCGCTGGCTGGAGGCTGGAGGGACCAAGAGGCATAGTGTTGTGTTGCACGCAGTCTGATGTCATGGCGAATATCACGCTTGTAGCATGCTTGTAAAGTACCACGGCGCTTGCACACTTCTGCTGGGACATGTTGACAGCAGCCCTGCGCGAGTATCCGGTGCATCCTGCGTTGAGGATTCGTGTCTGACGGAGGAGGCCGGACCCCGCGAGCCTAGCACCATCAGGGGTTTGTTACATCTTGGGAGGTGTTGGAAGCTGGTTTTTGGTCGTCTGTCTAACTACACCGGTCCATAGAAGTCCCTTTCGGGCCACTCTTTGGCAGATGGTTCATCTGAATCTACTGGTGGTAGTTCTCAATGATAGGGGTGTACAGGGCGTCAGGTCTGCAACCAAACTCCGCACGTGCCAAGGCTGACAGTTGAGTCCAAGAGCTCCCGGTCTGAAGCAACCAGCCTCAGGTGGTTTCCGTCGTCCCTGGCGAAAGGGCATTGGTGGAGGCCTTGCGGACGGGAAGAGGACATTTGGCATAGTCCGCGAAAGAGTTGCTAGACTTCTGAGAGATGTCTTTCTTCCTCCCCCACGTCCCGACTCCGAGGTTTCGAGATGTTTCGAGTACAGCCTGCTCCTGGGTGAAGGCTTCCCAGAGCGCTACAAAAAATTCGACTCCGACGACAGGCGGCGTTGCCCCGACCACTGGCCGGCCGACGCGTGGCGCAGGTTGCCGAAACCCCAGCCTCGCGCAGGTCTCAAAATTGTGTCCGTGCGAGCCTGCGGGGCTTCATCCACTTGTTTCAGTTGTCTTCGAGTTCGGGTATTGATTTTCGTAGAAGGTCAAGCTTGGAATACCCCAGCGTAAGAGTCCGACTCCATTCAAACATGAGTATCCACGAACAGACCCCAGACGAGGCATGTAGTGACAAGCACTTCCTTGCGCTGACGTCTGACGGTGTGGTGCACAGCTGCGGAAGCCATGGCCTCAGAAGCAGGGTTGCATGCTAGCAGCTAGCCGCTAGCGATTTTTGACGTCCTTCACCATCTTTGCGCAGTGCGCCGGTGGACAAAGTCTTTCGGCTTTGCCAGGGACAAGCAAGAGACACTTTTATGCGGTTTTGGGATGTTGGATTGTTGGGTGACTCGTGCATCTTGGTGCGACTATGCTGTCACGGCTACGTGCCATTTGCCCCTTTAGGGCTACGGTCGGCTACTTGTACCTTGCCAAAATTGACGCTTGTCTCGCCTGTGGAAGTGCGACGTCCCAGCTGGTCCTGGCTGCGAGGGTCGGAAGGGTAATTTTAATGTTGACACACACACACACAGACTGCCAGGCTTGTCAAACACATTTGTGCTCCTAGTGGCTTTTCTGGTTTGTACTCCGCAAGCCCTGGTTGCGCCCATCCCAACTTCAAGCGGCCCGTCCTTCAATGCACGAGGCAACACCAGCGGACAGCTCGGGCTCGCACCCTACGCTGCCGTTCGTCTCTTGATGGTTCGATCCTCCGAGCTTAGCATATGTATGTGTGTGTGTGTGCGTGCTGTCGTCGCCTTCCAGAGTCTTGTCGCTGTCCGAGTTAAGCATGGCTCTCTTCCCAGCTAGCCAGTTTTTCAGTCATTTCAGTCTCTTGCGGTCCCAGGACAAAAAGCCCAACCCGCTTGCTGCATTTCAAGCTCAGGCTCGGTCATACCGATTTCATCCTCAAGCTGTCGCCGATTTCCTTGGACAAGAACGGAATGAACCGCCTGCGCCTCGGGGCCCAACGCAGGTTCCATAAGTTAGGTCGCGGGCATCCAAGACTCCTGCACTCACACAACGGCTTAGGGGCTTTCATGGTTTAGGGTTTAGGGTAATAATTTTTGCAGTGCTCCGCAACCTCCCATGCGATGCAGCGGACTGCAATGCGCATTGATTCGACTGTGAGCCCCTGGCGTCGGATTGTTGGACATGTTGATGTCAGCAATTCGGATATGAAGCTGTGTTGCTTGGTTCCACGTCTTCGAAGCGTGCTTTGCAGCTTTTCGGTTCCCGACAACGCGAAGCATGCTTGTGAGAATTGTGTTTGGGTGCCGCTGCGCCGGAGGTTTCGCAATCTTCGTCGCCTGCGGCTCGGAGCACTCGGCCGCGGCCTTGAAGTCTTGACCTGGTTTGTTGGCAGCTGCTTGAGCCAAACTTGGGGAGAGAGGTCGTTAGAGTGAGAGATGACAGGCCGTTCTCTGCGAGCAGGGCACAGTCGCGCCCCCGGACGGTTGAAAGTCTCTCCTATTGACGAGTGGCTTCCTGCAGTCTTTTGCTGCGTCGCAGCTTTCGATGGGAGCTGTTTGAGGCGATTACTTTTGGAAGCAGCCATGATTTTCGACTTGGAAGAAGGCGATGTTGTATGCTTTTGCAACGTCTCTTGTCATGGCACCGGTGGGCAGGCTGTGAAAGTCATACTGACACGACGCAGCGTCACTTAGTGGGGTCGCTTGCACAAATCTGAGAGCCTTTACCCGTAGCCGTTTTGATCGGGCAGTCTAGAATTCTAGTTTAGAGACCGCGCCAAAGCCTGGATCCTAGCTCCCATCCGTGCAGTCCAGCAGGCTTGGGACATCAATGCGCGGTCAGAGCGGTGCACAGGTGGTGGCTCATGTTCCAATTGGTTTCCGGAACCGAGGCCGCGATGCAGATAACATCCGCAGTCCTTTTGGTCTTCGGCTTTGCCTGCCGACTCTTGGCACAATCGTTCACTTGTGAAGCTGACCCGCGTCATTCTATCATACACTGCGTCTTGCACACAGCAGGGCCGGTTTCATGGTTGGCCACAGTGCGAACAGATGTGGATTCCTACCTAGCTGTAGTCGTGTCGAACAGCGGAGCCAAAAAGGAAGCTGTGATCGATTTGAGGTGCTGTGCTGGCAGATGAGGAGCCTGGCCTTGAATTTGGAAGATAGGAGCAGGGAGGTGGAGACCCGTGCACCAGGGCTGGTCTCCGGCAGCAGATAGATTAAAACCACTAAAATACAAGACCGGCTCCGTGCTTCATCTGCGTTCTGGGCTTTGCTTCAATCCTTCCTGGATGTGAGCAGCTACGGCTCAAGGTTATCTGGCTCAACCCTTGCCTGCCGGAACCTGTGCCCGCACCAGTTGACTCATTATGCTAGCTGCACGCCTCCCGACATGATGGAAAACAGGGGTGGTGCGAGCTCGAGGAGAAGAGGAGGGAAAGCCAGGCTGTCGTCGACGGCCCGGCTTTCCCTCCTCTTCCTCGTCGTAGTGTCTCCGTGCCGGCGAGAATGTGCCGGCACCAGGCCGAGACGGAGCTGCCGGAGGAGAAGCTGCCCGAGGTTGCCGAATGCGCCCGTGGTTCCGTCAACGCTTAACCCAGATGCTGCCCCATTCACTGGGGTCAGCGGTGAGGTGCCATTCGGCGCTAAGACGGGGGTGTACTTCCCTTTTCGAGACTACACCGTGGAGGAATGGCTTGACTGGATCTACCACCTGCAAACGAACCACGTCCTCTTGACTCCCGAGTATGCGGCGTACGTATGTGAGGTTGCACGTCTGCTTGGGATGCCAAGCACAGAGCATGAGGACCCACAAAGCATCCACGTCTGTTGCATGGGACCAGGATCTTACTTGGTGAAGTGGTTCGTAGACTCTCGCAAGCTCCCCAGCAACGACAAGCAGGTCATCTCACCGGGGTTTGACTTGTACCACCATGGTGCTGGCCAGCTCCTGACGTTTCTCATCGGTGCATTCCCCAAAAACTGGGGTACGGCAAATCCCGATGCCAACTTTAAGAACTCTGACGGAAGAGGCATGTTCCAGTTGAAGTGCGACACCCAGCCCAAAGACCGCAGTTGTTTGCCATGCCGGTTTGGGTTCTCAGTTTCAAACGGGGAGATGCGCACGGCCTCTGGCCATTTCACGTTGAACAATTGTGTGGTGGAGTTGCCAGAAGAGGAGTCCGCATTTCACCTCTTTGGCGGAGCTGGACCAGACCAGTTGGTCGAAGTCAACGCTTTAGTTGAGCTTCTCTAGGAAGCCTGTCAGCATCTTCCGGGATCCAGATGCACGTGTAAATTTTACATGTGCATCTGGATCCCGCAAGATGCTGACAGGCTTCCTAGAAAAGCTCAGTGTAAATACTGTTTGGACATGGCCGTGCGAGGCGCAGCAGAAGAAAGCAAGCAGAATGAGAGGCATGGACCTTCAGGTTCTTCCGAGCTGTGCACAGCCAGGCAATCTGCCGGCACCAGTCCGGTGTTTCCGATGATCTCTCTGGCCCCAAGCTACCAGCTTCTGAGCTGATAGTCTCACGAGCATGCTGAAATTTCAGGTGGCCCCAGTCAACATTTGCAGTTCATGCATTTCCGTTCCAAGATGTTCCAAGAAATCATGTGCAGAAGCCACGAACGGACGTGATGGCAGACGCTGCAAGTCGGTGTTGTTTGGTACTGATGTTGGCAGGAGTAAGCACCGACTCATATGTTTTCTTTGCTGCCCCAAACCTCGCCTGACCTCGTCGAGTGCGAGCGCTAAAAAAGCGGCATGAAGCGAGAGTTATAGAACATTTGTGTTGGTTGATGACTCGCAGCTACTCCGTATGTCTCCGACACAGACATGCCAAAGCCAGCCCAGGCCTGTGAAGACGTGAATCAAGCCTTTGCAGTGGAGGAAGACAAGGGCAGCTGTGCCAGCATTGGATTATGCTGCCTAGGGTTTGGCTCACGTACCTTTCGTCCTTCATTGACCACGCCCAAATGCTCGGTAGGCAGGTCAAAGATTTCAGGGCGTGGGGTCCCTATTGAGATGATGTCTGAGAGTGAAGCAACTGGCCCGCAACTCCGGCAGAGTGCTTGTCGTGCCAAGCCCTGCTCGTGCAAGCCAAGGTGTCGAACTCCTTCAGAGCAGCTTTGACGGAAAGTTTTTCCTGCTTGCAGCGGTTTTGATGGGACACTCGAGCAATCACTAGCGACTGGCGGATGCGTTTCAGGGTGCGTGTAGAATTTTGGCGATTGGAGGTGACTCCACACCTTGCACCCAAGCACTGAGTGTCTTCGACCACCCAATAACCCTACACCCTAAGAGATCCTAAGAGATAAGATGCCCTCAATGCCCTCAATGCTTGTGCCGAGTTGTGCTGAGAAGATAAGATCCCTTGAGCCCAGGCCGAGGTGAGTTGAAGGCGGGGAGTTATTACACTGTTATAACTATCATTGTTATCTGGCAGTCGAGTCCCTTGTGAAAAATTGTTATCAGATAATTTAATCCCTAACTGTTTTAATTACAGGTTGGGGCTGTTACATCTTCGGCAAAAATTTGAGAAGCCACCAAGCTAGGGCTCAGATGCAGGCACCAATCAGGTTTGGCGCCAGACAGTCGTGGTTTTTTGTTGAGGGCATCTTCTGAGAGTCACTGCTTAGCAGAAGGCCATAGGCTTCACTTTTCTTTCGCTCGATCGTGCGGGGCTGATTCGACGCCGGTTTCTCGTGCATGCACATGAAGGCAAGGCGGCAGGGACGGCAGGGACGGCATGGTTGTGCCTAACCGAAAGCACCACAAAGCTGCTGTGCGGGCTTTTCCAAGCAGTCAGAGCTTGTTTGGAGAACTGGAACAGGCCCCGGGTAGGTTCTTAGTCCGCTGCAGCAGGCCCGCTTGGCCACAGCCGACCCGAGCTGCTCTGCTGCCCCCGACCCTGGGCTGAGAATGCAGGGCTGCAAGGGTTGAAGCTTCCAGTTCACCCACCTCCTTGCAGTCGCTCTTTACTTCAGCTGTTTATTCTGTCCAGCACCAGGTCTGTAGAGTATGGCCTCTCCCAACCCATGGTCCCAACTGCAGTCCCGACCCGAAACCGAGACCTGGACCCTAAACCCAAGCATGAGCGGCTTGCTTGTTTCACGCCGACTGGTACCCCACGAACCTCGCCTGGCATGTCCGAGTTGTGAGAGCCTAAACCCACTTCCCGGCACTGCAGATGATGAGCTTGGAATAAGTTCACTTCCGAATTCCAATCAGTCAGGGCCCCTTAGCAAGAGTTGCCCACGTGTATAGTCTATTTTGGTCGCGCTTCAATTTCTGCTCGTGAGATGTACTGCAGTTGCTGCCCTCACAGTGCATAGCTTTCGGGAACGCTTTGTGTTGCAGTGGTGACGCTAGCACTCCAAGTACAGCCCGAACGAACGAGGAGCCTTACTTCTGCTAGTTTGACGGCTCGCACTTGCCGTTCGCATCATGGGCTGCTGTATGACGAACCAGGGTCCACCCCCATGCGTGGCAGACAACAGATGCCTCCGGCGGTGGATATGCTTAGACCGCATCGTCGAGCTGCTGGATTTCTTTGCGACGTCGATGTATTGCTTGGAGTCGTACAAGAGCATGGTGGACGATAGTGCCACGTCTGGGAGCACAGCACGAGAAAGTCTCTGGATATTCTCCGTGCTCGTCCTGGTAGCTTCCTGGTTCTGTATGCTGATGTTTCACTTCCGCAAATCCAACAAGAAGCTCAACATTTTACATGTCGGCGCCTTCCTTCTTTGCTTTGCCGTGCCCCTTATTGTCCTTCTGGTGGTTGGGCTTACAGGCCTGTCTCCCGAGGCGCATTCGACCCTCGAGACTTTCAGCATAGTTTGGTGGTCCCTTGGGACTTTCGCTCTCTGCATAGTGTATATGCGCCGCAATGACCCGGTTAACACGTCTGCGGGTTTCGAGGTGCCAGGAATAGGGTTTGGCATCACCTGCTGCATGGTTGAGAGGAAGCTGAAGGAGGCTATAGAGTTTCGCGGTGAGAACGCTTATGGCGACCTGTTGCGAATAACGCAAGACGTCCCCAGCATCATCATCAGTTCAGTTCACATCAACCAACTGGATGTTAGCTGGTATGCTGTGCTGAATCTCAGCACGAGCTTCTTTGCATTGGTGCTCTACCTGTACTTGCTTGTCGAGAAGTGTGTACCACCTCCACCCGGAAGCAAGCCGGTGGTCATTTTTGGAGCTGTTTTGCCGTCCTGAACGGGGTGTGAGCTGGATAAGTTCTGGTTGAGTAGTGTTGTACTTGCTTCGGTCTGACCCTGAGCATACCACTTTGACAGCCCCTGGAGTATGTACTAAGCTGAGCGCAGTGCAGTGCAGTGTTGACGTTGCACAGTCCTTGATGTTGATGAATGTAACCACTTCGTACTTGGGCTGCCTGGCTGGAGTCTTGATAGAGAGCTCGGGGGCGGCGCAGGTAAGCCATTCAAACCAAAGGGATCCTCTGTTCTACTCTGTTCTACTAGTTTTTTGAAGAGTGACCCCCAAATACCTGACCGAACCCGCGCTACAGGGTCGGGCCACGACCAAAGCAAAATGCCGGTGTGAGCTGACAGCCCCGAAGAGTGGAGCAAACAGCTACCTCATCGGCGCGAACAGTGTGTCTCACTCTCTTGACGTCATGATGACCCTGTCGCTGGCATCCCAGCGGACGGGGTCATGCAATGCAAGAGGAAAAAATACCGCGGTGAATTCTCATGACATTGAACTGATGAAGAGTTGATCTGCATGTTTCAGGAGTTTACTGCGACGAGGGTTTTGCATGACCTCTCCTGGCAATGAGCTTTGACCTGTGGTATAGAGCAATTGACTGCATGTGCAGAGCGGTTGATAGCGGAGCCTTCAGGGGGAGAGCGCAGAAAGTCGGAGGAGTGTGAGAGTCCACACATCCCTCGCTGAAGAGTCGGAGTGTGAGTGCCGAAACCCTGCGTTCAAAGCCTCTCCTAGCGCCCAGGAGTGTGCCAAGTTGAAGTTGCAGGGGCTTCCTGGATGCAAGCAGGGCTGAGAGGGGACCTTTAGTAGGCACTCGCTCCCAGCCGTACCAAGAGGCCGAAGCCCTTCAACATCTTTCAACAGCCTGAAACCTCCATCGTGCTCCATTAGAATGAACCTTTAAGTCGCATGGCGGCAGAACGTGGGACGCAACTAGGAACTGCTGCCCTAACGACGCCGGCATCAGCCTTGGATGCTGCCCCGGAGGCGTGATGTGCATCTAGCTAGCTAGCTAGCTAGCTAGCGAGTTATCTCTCTATCTATCTGTCTGTCTGCCTCTTTACCCATCTCTGTGACCGCTGCGCACCGTGAAATAAGCAAACAGATGCGGACATAATTGCACAACCAAGTGAACAGTTAAGCACGCAGCAAACAAGCAATTTCACAGATCGTGACACACACACACACACACGCACGTGCACGCACACGTGCATACTAGTGCTATCATTATCATTATTGTTCTCCTTCTTCTTCTTATTCGTATTATGATTTCAATAGTTATCATTATTCTCATTAAATTATTGTTATTAGCAATGTTGCTATTACTTTCATTATTGTTAGCAGCAGCAGTAGTAGTCGTCGTCGTCGTAGTAGTAGTAGTAGAAGAAGTAGTAGAAGTAGTAGAAGTAGGCATCACCGAACTGAGGCACTCGTCGCGAGCTTAAGCGTTCCACCCAAGCGTGGCGCTGAGTATCAAACAGAAACCAGGCAGGCGAACCACTTGCTGCAGGGACCTGGAATACGCAACGCGTGTAACACAAGGATCATAAGGGTCTGTTGTCACGATCAGTGACGCAACTGCTGTTACGTGGAACTTTAAGAGCACTTGTTCCGATCTTCTCCACCACCATTCATGTCGGCAACAGCATCTACTATGTTCGTGCGGCCCGCGTCCGCCGGTCTGGAAGCTCTTATGTGTTACTCCTTATCTTCCTTCTTGCTGTGGCACCGGTGGTACTGCTCGATGTTGTGCTGCTCTAGGACTCTAGGCGGTGACGCGAGTTGACAATCAGATCATCTTTGACATCATGCTCAACATCATCATTGTCGTCGTCATCTTCATCATCAGTACCATCAGAAGAATAACTGCCACCATCGCCATCGCCATACAACCTTCATAATTAAGCCTTGTGATTCAGACAACTACTGCGCAGATTGCCGCCTTCCGCACAGGGCAGGGTGGGGCACCGTAGGGGAAGTCGGGCACCGCCCCAACAGGCATTTGGGGCGCGGCAAAA